TGTAGCATCGCACATTCACTGCCGAAAATTCTATGGCCGAGTTTTAACGTGTTTTGCTTAAAAGAGCCCATAGCAGAGATACACATCGTACATCCTTGTCCTAAGCCGCACGGATCAAGTTAGTGACTGACGATGACAAAGTAATGACGTGAGCAAGCTCATTGTCAGGTTGGTGCGATAGTGCATCAGCCAAAGAATTTTACTTTCCTGGCTTGTACTTCACTTCGAATTCAGATTCGACAAAGACTGGAATCCAGCTTTCCATTCTCTGAGAGAGATGCGGTGACTGAGTCGTAGTGCGAAATGACGCATGATATGTATAGATCACAACTGGATTTGAGCCAAGAAGATGTACTATGAATTTGACGAGAGCGCATCATATGACAAGTAGCCATTTACATGAACTGGATAGTTCTTTTCAGCAGCTTGGATCTGTCAAGATTCGATTGCAATAACGTGCCCGCGTCCGTCGACATCTGTTTAAATATTGCACTTTCTGTGGCGAAAAGTCAGGTGTGTCACAGATGACGCTGAAAGGCCGATCGATCAGGATCGGGCAAAGCCAGTATTGACGCATGAAGGTGACTTTCCTTAACTGCTTGCAAAGTATCATGTTCGGCGATACTCCAACACCAATCTACATCCCATTTAAGAATATTGTAAAATGGCCAAGCCATTTCTGCATAATTAGCTCTATACTTAGGCAAGTAAGTGGCAAGGCCAAGCCGCTTGCGTAAATTCTTTTGGTTCTTCGGAATCTTCCATTCGACTATGGTTCTTACCTTGGCGAGGTCCGCTCGAAGGCCTCGCTTCTCCAAAAAAAAATGTACAAGGGAGTCTCTTCTGCACCAAAGATGCACTTGAATGTATTTGCATACAATTTTTTCGTGCGCATGCACTCGAGCACCGCTTATAAATGGTCAATGTCATTTTCCACATGAGATCGACCGTTCGTTGCACAAATATAGACAACGATGTCACCAATGTACGCTTGTGCATAGCCTCGATGAGGTATAAATAGTTGTGTCACCAAAAGAATAAAAGTAGCCGGGACATTTGAAAGACTTTAGGCATAACGAGCCGCTCCCAGAGCAGACCGCTCGAAAATCTATCCGATATTTACGTAATATTGCTTGCTCGCATGAGCAGATGATAATAACCATCGACTAAGTCAAGCGCACTGTACAATGTACATCCCGCCAAATTGTTCTGAAGAGCATTCTTTCTGGGGATTGATATCTGAGTGGCAGCATTGAGCCTTTTATAAGCATGTGCAATGCGCCACTTACCATTTGATTTCCTGACCCAAAGTGCCGGTGTGGAATGGAGAGATTAACTCTCACGCACCATGACATCCGCGTGCTCTACACAAAGAAAATGTCATTGACGTCACTCTCTGTTCTTTAATCAAAGGCCACTGCCGTGTCACGCAGTATTTACTTCCTAGAACTAGATCAATTTCACTATGTACACCTATTTTGGGAGGTAAGACAGATGGTAAGTTGTGGTACACCACATCTTCAAATTCCTTTTCCGAAGGATAGAATAGATCCGAAGGGTCTTCAAGGATCAACGACCCAATCCGGGTACTGAGTGCCGCCATGGCGTCCTCTAGGACCGTCTTGTCCATAAACGAGAACGATCCTTAACACTTACAGATATTTATAAAATTGACCACAAGCAAATGTAATGTACAGAGACGAATTGAGATCAAACGACTAGCCAAAGTAAAAACAAGTTAGTAAAACAGAATCGAAATCGTGTCAAACATGATCGACGGTTGCGCTAGATTCGTCATAAGGCAAATGGCCTTCTCATGTCTAATAAAACGTTCAAATAAGACTAGGCATGACATCGCTTAAGAAAATGGGAGTATTGCATTGGGTTTCTCACGAACTACTTTTGAGAGCAAGGTCGTTATACCCTTGGATACTATAATTTTACAATTATATTCGTGTTTGCACAAAGATTCCAGGCCAAATCTACAAGCTGGGCCAGCTCATGGCGAGTAGTGGATCGAATATTTCTGGTATGAGGTTCTGAGATATGCCATTGTAAACTAATATTGGCACACAGAGCTCATGCTTATCCTTTCGACCACTCGCAGATCATGTAAAAACTCTGCTGACAAATTGAATAACAGCCTTCTAAAAAATTACCATTGCAAGGCATCTGCGACTTAATAGATTGAGCGAATTCACGTGCTGCATTTCCGTAGCCACTACGGATATTATAGCCCCAAATGTTACAGCCCAGCTCAGCAAAGATACAGGCACTCGGTTTTTGTTAATTACTTAATAGAGCAGAGACGTTACATGGTTAAAATTGATAAGCCTATGCGTCATCAACATGCAGCCAAAGATCAGTACCGAGAGCAGACTGGAAAGAGTTTGAAGCATCATCGTCTTACAAGGTGACCATCGCGCTTTAAACATACGTAGTATGAGAGGGATGCGTACATTATAGCAGAGATTACGCGAGGAGCTGAGAGTATAAAAATAAAATCACACAGATGCTGATTTGTGAATGCTTTTCTGTGGCACCAACTATACAATGATCTCAAGAAGATATTTTAAAGATCTTGACATACCATAATTTATCTTCGTTGATGAACCTGTATACTCAGATTCATCATGATCGACGCGTCCGCCTTCTGCTTCATGTTATCTGAAACAGTCGACCCTTCATTTACATTCTCTTACAGGCCCTTGCACGCTTATTAAGTGCAGCTAGACTAGTCAAACAAATCTATTCGAACACTAAGTCGACGCTTGGGTTCATAGCCTATTTACAGAGAGCGTAAATAACTTAGATCGGACCCGAAGTCGAGCAGCAAAAGCAGAAATAATCGGATAAGGTGTATGAGCTTTTTAATCATTACTAAAAATGTTCCGAGATAGTCAATCGTTTAGCTCCCATAAGCTCCGTCATATGTCATTGCCTCGCCCCCTTTTTTCTAGGCTGCGCAGCTTCTCTCCTTTTCTATGATGGGCTACATCATAAGCGTGGAAAACGTCAGGTGCTTGGCATGACGATGCTACGAACCTCATGCATTATACCCGGAAGATCAACATTATTGCCTTTGCTTGATACGGTTCTCGATACGGAAACCTCTAGAATAGTGCTGTTATATCAACCTATTTAAGCTACTGGTGCTCTCGTATTAAGCATCTGCTTTTGCATTTTACGCATTTACTATGTAGAACAGATACCTACACACATTGCGTAGCCGCGTCACATTTAGCGAACAGACGCAGCCACATTTTTTAGCATTCGATCCGTTACCAAACATGATAACTCTGAGAAATGCGTGAAGGTTAATCTTGGTACAATCCTATTTTGCAGGACGGTCATGCCTAGGCTACTAATCCAACCTCAGTCCTGGAAATATTACATTTTGATATTTTTTTTATTTATAGAATGTACCCTGCTGCCCATATTCAGCTCAAATAATACATTAAGCCAGAAACAGGATAGGCGGATCAACACCTTATCGTGTAAAGCACAAAAACATGTTTCTTAGGGATCGAAATTAGCCTGGTATATCTGTACAAGAATTTTTATTGGGAGTACATCGTAAATCAAACACTTACGAAATGTAAATATTGCAAAGCCCGCATCAATCGCAAAACCTGCACCCCGCTCAGGAAGGAAATAATGTGTACCGCGCTGAATTATAACATATCTCTATTTTGCCATTCCTTAATATCGGTAGTAGTCGTACAAGACGGATCACCCCCCGAGGGCACCCCGTTTCGTCCAAAATCGTCCCTTGCTCAACCCCAAACTGTGTATGGATGACACGGGCAGGCCTCTCACGCAGTCGCTGTATGCGCGATAGGAAGGTCGGGAGTGTGCGGAGCCCAGAAATGCCGGTTAGTTTTATAGCAAACATCTACTATGGATTTTACATTGACAAACTTAACACGCGACTGTGCCGCATTCTTGGATATTTGGATTCAAGTCATACGCTTCTCGGTTGTATCGTATCGAGGCCGGAGACATCACAGTTTGGAAGGCCTGAGTTGCAAAGCTATCATCACGCTCTCACTTTGAATGAGTGACGTGTGTGTAAATGAAACATGAATGACGTGTGTATCTGTTTAGGTCAATAACGTTTGTGGGCATTATAGGCGCAGCCACGGCTGGCCGTGTGTCTTTCCACACCTGGATGTTACTGTGGTTGTGCAGCGTGCTCAACGTGCTGTCGAGGTGATGATTGGGACCACAACCACGGCATGCGTCGTTGCTGCGGCGACCGTGCACTTATTAGCACTAAGCGCCGCGAAAGGTCCGTTAGTACAATTTAAAAAATGGGATAAGCACCGTTCCATTCGTACAAAAGCATTGCGTGACCATTTTGATGTCGCCGCCGACGTTTTTCGCATTGTATAATTACAGGGGATTATCGAAAAATCATGATTGTCATGGAAGCTTAGGCAGCACAGACATCAAGCAGCATTTGACTGTTTGATAGACACGGACTCCTCTCTACTTAATGCTTTAACCATCGCTTATAGTGATACGATGTTGTAATGCGCTATGAACTACAGATTTGGTTCGATTACATGGAAATAGATCCTCATTTGCGGGGGCCCTTCAAAAGGATGTCGGGTACGGCGGTTGCAGCTCAGCTAGGGACGCACTAGTTCTATGGCACCACGATCCTCGCCTTTGTCGACTGCTGCCCTTTCGCCGGGCACGTTTATTTAAAATTTATTTGCATATATCCTATGTTGACTCTGTCTTTGCACCTTGAGCCCTAACCTAATCATTCACTTAGACAACAGCGTGGTAAGCACTTATTCCGTCTCGAAGTTGTATTGGTTATGACACTGGTGCGGGTTTTCCGGTGTTTGCATTCAGTTGGTCCTGGATTTGCTATCAACTCTTTTTTTGGAGCAACCGAAATCATCTGGTCCAAAACAGTCATCGACATAAAAGAGTGAAGGTAGTAAACGAAATCTGATGACGCACTGCTTGTATTACCCGGGACACGGATGTGGAACAAGTTTGAGCCCAATTATTTGAAGCAGAAGGTGATGAGGCTTCACGGCTACCTCAGCGAAGCATGCAAGCGATGTGCTAATACACGGGCTCAACCACTGTTTCTGGAGTTTTTGGAGCTAGCACCACCAGTTTTTCTGGAGACGAAGATGCTGTCGGAGAAAGAGGACTCGGATCATTAGCGTTAGCAAATAAGATGGCCAGATGTGTTCGAATCAATAGCATTGGTTATATGCGAACGTAGTGGATCATCTTCGTCATGCAAGCGATCACTTCAATCGATCGAGCTTAGATGTCTTGAACCGTGAAATGTGCACACAGTGCGTTGGGCGTCGATTTGATACCGCCGTAGACGTCGCACTCCGTATCAGGCTTCACGGCAACAAAGTAGTCGCCTGCCTCGACGATGCGGTGGAATCCAGAGCCGATCTGCGGGTCAAGCACACCCCAGTCTTCGCGAGAAAGAGTGAACGACACCACTCGCGTCTCACCTGGTTGAAGATGAATCTTCGCGAACCTTTTCAACTGTTTGGCCTCCGGTACGGAAATAGCGCGGAATGGTTGAATGAGGAACAACATGACCGTCTCCTTTCCGGCCATCGAGCCAGCGTTTGTGACTGCCACGCTGACCTCGAGTGAGGTGTCGCCGCTGTTTGGTACGGTAGTCCTGCTCAGCGAAACGTTGCCATACTTGAACGCAGAGTAGCTGAGCCCGTGTCCGAAGTTCCACTCCATCTTGCATGACCCTTCGTCACGGCAGCGCGTACTCACAAGGTGGTTGTAAGGAATCGCAATGTTTGCTGACGTCTTCGGGTATGTAATGGAAAGTCGTCCGCTCGGGTTGACACGTCCAAATAGGACGTCAGCGAGTGCTTGACCACCCAGCTCACCAGGAAGCATAGCGTATACCACTGCGTGGGCAATTTCAGCAAGACCCTGGAGCAGCCGGGGACGCCCTTGTACCAGAACGAGGATCACCTTCGTACCGGTGGCAGCAATTTCGCGAACATACTCTACTTGACCCAGCGGTAGGTTCAAATCGTCTATGTCGCCCGGTTTCTCTGCATACACGCCCTCACCAATGGCGACAATCGTGTAAGTCGATCTTCTTGCAAGGCACTTGGCTTCCTCGAGATCGGCCGAAGAGTAGGAGCCATTGGGGTGTAGACCGTTGACATAGTGGACAACGCCAGAACTCGTGTGCAGTACATTTGCGATTCCCTGGCGGAGCGAGATGCCGTTTGGAAAGAGACTGTTTCCCGACACACCTTGCCAGCGAAGAGACCACCCTCCACACAAGAGACCGACATTGTCTGCCGCATGTCCCGTCAGGAAGACCTCAGTGCTCGCACCCAAAGGAAGGATTCCGTCTTCATTTTTGAGTAGAACGATGGACTCGCGTGCGAGTTCCAGTGCTGCCTGTTGGCTTTCGTTTCCGCCGACGAGAGCGATATCGTCTTCCGTTCCTGGTAACGCGTTGTCAAACAGACCTAGCTTTACCTTGGTCGTGAAGATCCGACGGACCGACTCGTTTACACGGTTCATCAGCTCGGCATTCTCCTGAACGGCAAGGCGAGCCATATCGATGAATGACGTGTTGAGTGCCACCATGCTCATGTCTAACGGAGCGTTCGTCAGCGCCATTCGGACCGCTTCTCGATCCGTTTTAGCAACTCGATGCCATGCGTGGAGATTATGGATTTCAGCATAGTCTGTAACGATGAGTCTGTCGAAGCCCATATCGTGACGCACTAAATCTCTCAAGATTTTGGTGTTGGCAACAACCGGGACCCCGTTGATAGAAATGTAGCTTTCCATGGCAGTCATGGCACCAGCTTTAATGGCAGCCAAGAAAGGAGGTGCGAAGCGATTGAGGAGCTCGAAGTCGGAAACTGTGACGCCTGCACGATCGTGGCCTGTTGGTGTTCTTGAGTACCCGATGATATGCTTCATGCATGCTGCCGTAGTGCCATTGCTCTGGATACCTCGAATGACAGCGTCAGCCATAACCGACACCAGGTGAGGGTCTTCTCCGAAAGTCTCGAACGTTCTCGCCCAAAGAGGGTTATGCGAGATCTCAAGGATCGGCGCAAATAACCACGGGATTCCTGCTGCTCCGGTGTCTCGGGCAGTGATTCGACCCATTTCGTAGACCAGCTCCGGGTTGAATGTTGCAGCGGCGTTGAGTTGTTGTCCGAAAAGTACTGCTCCACGGATGTAGTTAGCCCCATGGACCGAGTCGATTCCATAGATGACAGGGTGGCTGCCGTGGCTGGCATAGATGGCTTGAATGTCCGTGATCAACTCACGCCACTCTCTGGGGGAGAAATTGTATGTCGAGTTCGAGTTTGTGTCGTTCAGTTCAGCACCAGGCGTGTTCAAGTACGAGCCCACATTGAGTTTCGCGTGTTCATGGACAACTGCACGATTGAGGGTGCGGTTCGGATGCAGGATCGTGGTCACATCCAGTTGCGTCATCTGGCCAAGCATCGCGTCCAAGTCCTGCACGAAGTACACAAAGCTTGTCAGCGCAAAACCCTTCAGGTGAAGTCAGGGACGTGATTACCATGGACGCCATGAGCCCCTTGACTCGGTCCTGGATTTGCTGATCGGAGGACGGCTCATTTGCAGCAATACGGCCACTGAAAACGGTAAAGCCTGCAAAAATGAGGGATACTAGTCTCATCATGGTATTCCGCGACTCTAAAACACGTGCTTGTTGAGCAGCTCCTCAGGCAACAAAGTGAATTTGAGAATGAGGCAAATGTCAAGACACACCCTCGATATCTCCCGGAATCGCTCATCGTCTTTCGTCTCGCTCCCGGTGAATCTGAGTCACGAAGATGCATGCGCCACGTTTTGCCTGTCACCGAGACAGTCAGAAATAGTCCAATGCATCGTGTTGAACTTTCGTTGCTACGTCCGACAATCACGGAATGACGACCTGCTAGCAATTCTGATGACTCCGTACTTCAATGCCGTTGTTCAGTCGAGACGCGTGACTGTACCGGTAATGTTGATTCGAGTTCAGGATTGGACACCAACTGCGCACCTTCACAAACGTCGTCTGATTAAACCGTGGCAACTACGTCACCACACTCGTTGTCCTCTAGGTCGCATTCTGCCGTATACATGAGTGCGGGCGGTTTGCTGCGATTAAACCTTAACGTCCTATTGCCGTTCTGATCTGCTCGCTCTTGTGTTCACCTAGGCTGCATCATGTGTCCGAGTGTCGTCGGGCTTTCAGCGACATATTTTAGTACACTAGGAAGCAATATGCACTATACCTTCTACGCACTGATTTCAACAGAAGGAGGGCTGTGCAATTCAGTGTTCTTACGTCATGCGACCAATGTAAGAGTACTGCACCCTCGGTTGGCAAAGGGTGCTCAAATCGTAAAAAGGAAGTGATTGACGTTACACATGTACTCAGACTTCTTCGGATCTGGTTTTGCATTTCAACCTGCACGCCTATGCTGTCCACTGTGGCCAAAGGATTTCCGAACCACCTAGCTTCGTGAGCTGGGCGTAGTCCAGACATCGTTGCTGCACGAAAACCGGGTGTCGTACGCTCAGACGACTTCGACACGTAGACGTCTTTCGAAAAGCTTTTCATCGGCATCGTCATCAAAACCCATCTGCTTACTTTCGATACTCGACGATTGAAGCGGTTCTCGTTTGCCCTCTGTTGCACTTGAATACCTCTATGCTGATCACGTGCGCAACTGGTGTGTATGCTCTTCTTACTTATTCAATGCGATTGAAATTTCGTGAGCGAAACAAAGTGCCACACCTTAGATAAAGGAGCAAGCTCTGGAGTTCGCCCTTTGATATAAGTAATTTAGTTCGGAGAAGTGGATCAAGTTGCAAAATTCTATTCAGCACCAGTCACTGACGAATGAGTATGGTGCGATAAATGCATGCATTAAACCAGCACAGTAAACTTTGGGCCACGCGATCAGTCTTTGCTTATAAGCGTCCAGCATCTGCTTATGTGATCATGTTCACCCTTAATCGATTTTTAAGCCAATCACGAGCGTGCGTCACAATAGTGACCCGGCCAAAGAGTGACTTTGAATGCACCTCTAAAATAACCATCGAACTTGTGCACGAATATAGAGCAATGATGTTCGGATTTCCAGTGGTCTCCACGATGACCACAATAACTAGATCTACTCGAATGCCACATGAATTTGGGTTAAGCGCTAAAAAATATTACTCTCCGCGAATTAAGTCGTTATGAGCTATGCAAACAAGTAAAATCAATGTCAATTCTTTGCGTTCTCACGCATAAATTTCGCGACAAAAAAGGCCCAATTCAAATCGACAAAGTCTATGCTCTTGGTACGCAGACTGAGCGCGTAATTCATGGTCCATCCGTCCGCCAGCAACAAGATGAAGATGGCATGATCCAGATCATCAGTTTCTCATGTCTACCAGTAAGTAACAATCCAGAAAAACAACTGACAATTCATCATGATGTACTATGGTTTCCTATGAGTATCGCTTGATTGTTTCGAATAGTCTTCGTAAAGATATGATCGGATGGTACCGCATCGAACTCAGCCACCCCTGAAGTTGTCGGCAGTATAAATATGCAGACCACATTTACTGGTCCCGTAAGAGACAACTATTGCCGAGTTTGTTCACAAGTTTATCACATGTAAAGATGAAGCTGCACGGTTGGAAACAAGGTAAGTGTTACTGCCATCCCGCACATGCAGGACGGTAAACCCATTTGATACTGTTCATGACGAAACCATTTGATCATACGAAAGTGGCACCTTTAAAATTACCACGATCGATCAAGCACACATTGTCTCGAAGTTTGGTGCATAGTCGAACAAGGAGTCGATCACGACGGCCAAAAATATGACCGCGAGTGGCTTTGTTGATACCCATGACCAAGGCAAGCTGTACACGATCGAGGTCTGAAATTTGCGTGTGAAGAATTTTTAAATACTGCTCCGCAGTTATAAACTAATCGAAGCCGGTCATGTCCAAAAGCCCTCAAGCCAATGCGATCTGTGAGCGCGTATAATTGGACATATTGATTGGCATTTAGAGTCATAAGGACGCAAACTATAGTCATTTTCTGATTCGCTTTCTCCTGTGAGAGCCAGTTACCACAGTATGCTCAATGCGTCGCCCGAGCAGTTCTTTTTCGGACAATACATGAGTT